ATGTCAAGGTAAATTGCACTTCACTGTGGACAGTGACCCTGGTGTTTCAGCAGCTCTCAGTTCATTGCAGGTTTGAGCCTTGGTGATTCCTGGATTGTTCCTGAACATCCTAACCAATTTCTACTCATCTGATAGTGGAAACTGAGTCTTCTGACAGGTTATGGCAAAGTGTTGACATATATGAATAGTACTTACGTACAACTGTTTGAACTGATGAAATGAATTATGAAATGGCTCCAAGAGGCCCCAGAGAGTAGATTCTGTTCATGTGGACATTGCATTTTCAGTGGGAGAAACTTTTCATCACTCATCCAAGTCTCTTTCTCAGTCTCCCTAACCTTATAAACTGTAGGTTTACATGACTGCAACTGGTACAACTGACTAACAATGGGTCGTGAGGTCAATTTCACCATCATTAATATGCAAACTCTTGTGACCATTGACCAAAGTACCATGGTGGTACATTATAAATTGATTTCCCCAATATATAAATCATGGTAATCCACCTGGAACTGAACCGGATACACTACATGACCCTTTTGTGCAAGGGGACCTAGTCCTTCCTGTGGACCAGAGAGGGGGGCGGGGGCGTTAAAAGCCACTGAAATGTTATGGCTTGAGAAAATGCGCCTCAGCTGTTCCTGGGATAACCACATTTACTCTGGGCCGTCTTGAAATGATGCTCTTCTGCTTTCCTGGCCACTGTGTCTGTGGGGGGATGTTTGTACTGTGTTGTAGCGTCCTGATGAAACCCAGTTTCTGCTCCAGTGGGTAATAAGACTCAGACCTTAAATCTGTATTGATTTACAGTGCACACTGACTTTTAAATTTCCCCAATAATGATGGAAATCTTGTCTGCAATGGTGGAGAGGTTGACAGATGAGATGAGGTCAGGCAGGAGTCTCCGTGGCCTATAATGTTTGCAGATGACATTGTGATCTGTGGTGAGATTGGGGAGCAGGTGGAAGACCTGGAGAGGTGGAGGCATGCCCTAGAGAGAAGAGGAATGAAAGTCAGAAGAAGCAAGACCGAATATGTGTGTGAATGACAAGGAGGCAGGTGGAAAAGTGAACAACTAATAAACAGAGATGAGTTTAAACAGACGACAGAAGAGAGAAAATGCAGGGGAGAGAAGAGTGCCAAGGGTGATTTGAGACAGGACAGCTGTAAGAGTGAGAGCGAGCGTTTACAAGATGGTAGTGAGACCTGCTATGATGTATGGTTTGGAGATGTTGGGAGTGAAAAACGTCAGATGTTAATATTTTTTTTCACTGAGAATGACTGAGATAGACAAGACAAATAAGACAATTTGTCCTGTTTGTCTTATAAGACAAGACAAGTTAGAGAGGTAAAGCTTATTTGGATACGTGCAAAGCTACTGCATTAGACAAATGATGTTTAAGATGAAGCAGACAGGCAGGAGAAAAAGAGCAAGACGTCAGATGAGGTTCATGGATGTAGTAAACAAGGACATGCAGAGGGTTGGTGTCTGAGAAGAGGTCCCTAGGGACAGGGTGAGATGGAAGCAGATGATCTAAGTAGTAATGCTTTTTGCTGAGAGATATGACAAACTACATACAGTGTTGGGAAGGTTACTTTTAAAATGTACTCCACTACAGTATTACAGATTACATGCCCCAAAATGTATTTTGTAACGTATTCCGTTACGTTACTCAATGAGAGTAACGGATTCTGAATACTTTGGATTACTTTGGATCATGCTTTTTACAACTACATGAATGTGCTATTGCTGTGTGATTTATTACTATTACTGAAGGTTACTCTCCACACCAACACCAGCTAGATGTTTAAATCTTGATATAAAATGAGTAACAGTAGGTGGACATTAGGTAAGGCTGCACTTTTTGCAGAGATCTCGTATAGAAAACTATTCCGCGCGTATATAAAACAGGTCTGCGGCTCCAAACTGTAGTAAAGGGACCTCTGGCTAATACGTTGGGTTCGTGTCGGGCTCGTAGCCGAAAACTAGCTTCACTTTGTTGTCTGGGTCAACTTTGCTAGCGAGAGACAGAGAGAGGCGTTGTAAGCTTACTTACAACTGGGCTATTATTATTAGGGATGCAATGATACCAATTTTTTCAAACCGATACGACACCGATACTTGGATCTGAGTACTTGCCGATACAGAGTACAAAATCCGATACTTCTACCACACACACACACACACACACACACACACAAATGCAATGAATTGGAAGACAGGTTTTATTTTATTCTCTGCCGATAATAAATAATATCTTAATAAAAATGACCACAAAAAAATTTCAAGTGAAAAATAAGCACTTCTGTTAAATTATTGCAGAGTCTCCACCTTGTAATTTAACAAAATATCACTGAACTATTGGCACTGTCTCCAGCTTTCGGAATAATAAATAAACACTT